ATTTTCTGACACTCATTTAAAAATCCAAATCCCTCAAAATAAATGCTGATTTGTTTTGGGGGGTTTTTCCACCTGAACTTTGTGTGAGTAAACTAATTTGGTTGAACACATTGTTCAGCAATTGTTTCCTCAAGCTCTGGCTTCTCTTTTCCTCATGATGCCAAGTGAAATGTTTTCCTACTGAGTATTGTGGGGGACTTTCTGCACTAGTAATGTTTTTGTTTGTGACTCATCCTCAAGGAAGGTACATGTTGCTCAATCAGTCTGCTTTCAGAGTTCATGAATATGACTATGGGAGTGTTTTTTGCAGTATTACATAAACAGTGTTTTGCAAATGTTTACTCTCTTCTACTAAGAGTAATGAACCGAGTCATTGTGTATATGGAAATCTGCTGATGCTAGTAGAAATAAATTCATATATTTAGGTGTGACACACAAACATATTGATAGTGAAGACCTTAATGTTAGCTAAAAAGGATGTGCCATTTCTAACGCCAGTTCATATCAGGAAAAGAAAAACTGGTTCTGAGTCCTACTGAGTCTTATACATCATTCCTGGTGAAGAACTACCTTCAGAAGACCATTGTGTATTTAACTTGTTCTTCAGTCAGTAGTTTACTTGTTTCTGAACCTCATGATTTTCTTATACTACCTAAAAATGAGTTGAATTGCCATTATCAGTAGGGGTATTTTTCCACTGTATATCTTGTTCATATTATATGTTGCTTCATATACAAATACAATGCAGTCAAAAATGTGTTGTTTCATTTCACACTCTTATTATGCTGAAATATTTTGGGTTTCGCGAGCTTATATAAGCCAACTGGTGTGTTATTTTGTCCAAGCTGGGCCAGTGCAAACACAATATGATACCCTCCTCTCAGCAGATTGTCAGTGACAGTCTGACGGCGCCCAGCCTGCAAGTGGAGTTTGCGACAATACTGATGGAAAATGACGCTCACTGAATCACATGTGGCATCAGCTGAATGTGACTTTCTCAGTAACATGCCTCAGTGTGAAAAAAATATATACATCCACTATTCACACATATGCAAGTCTTCACAAGCAACAGCTGGAGAGGAGTATCAGTGTCATTTTTTCCATATCTGCCCAGTGTTAACCAGCTGTTTCCCTGTAATCCTCAGACAGGTCCTCATCAATAACAACCCTCGACACATCAGAATGACAATGAATTTCAGAGAAGAGCTGCAGAAATGTCAGACCACACAGAAGACAAATGGCATTCTGCAAATGTGTTACTTTAATGTACCCCGACCAGCCACAACATCCCAGTCGTCTGCCTAATGTTGTGTAGGTTCCCCTTGTCCCGCCAAAATAGCTCTGAACCATCGGTGCATGCACACAGGACCTCCAGGGGTGTTCTGATGAATCTGGCAGTGGATCATTTGAATCCTAGCGGTTGCAGGATTGGGCAGCCATGGCTTGTTCTCGTTTAATCGGATTGGGGAGTGTGGTGGCTGATTAAATTCCTCTGGTTCTCGCTTAAGTTCCTTGAGTTTCTCCTGAACAGATTCTGCATTGTAGAGAACATATCTGGCTAGGGGAGGACACTGGCTTGGACTTATGGACTTTCCTAAAGAACATGCTATTTTAACAAAATCAACAATTTTACTCAGTTCACCTGTTATGAGTTTAATTGTTCTGGCTGATCGGCTAAATCAGCCACAGCATCAATGTGAAATGATATTAAAAGATCCACCAGCTTAATAACTGGATTGTTTATAAGCAATCTATAAGTAGTATTATCAATGATTGATTTACAGATGTTTCAAAGTCTTCAAAGATCATCATCATCACCAATGTGAGGCAATTGAGGCGATAATATCCTGAGAAAACCTTGCTTCACTGCCAGAGAGGTGGAGGTGTACCTGATGAATCACAGCGCTCTTAGCAGCAAATTTAATCTGTAATGATGCACTCCATTTCACATATCATCAAGTTGTAATGTCGGACTGTAGCAACCCATCCATCCGTAACCTCATGTCACCACTTGTTAGCTGAAGTATGAATTAAGGGGCCCGTACACTCACATATTTAACTCGTATTGCCAATTTCACAGTCGTTGTTTTGCTTATTTGGTTCGGACCAACAGAAAAGGCTAACACATACTTTATACATTACTCACTCAAACTTCTTACAAACAACCTAAGCAACACGGACCTCATATATTTTGAAGCAGGCATTTTGCCTCCATTTCTTTTACCTTAATGTTTCACTGGCTCCAAAAAACAAATGTGCTCTTCATGATCATGCTGGGCTGACATTTTACCAAATATTGACCACTTTTTCTGACATTGTGTAATGACCATGGAAGCTAGAGCTGGGAAAATGAACCTTTCTTCTGCAACAGTTGGTCTATTTGCATAGTGCCACTGATTAAATGAGTTCTCTTCCTGTGGAGCTCTGAAACCAGCTGGTCATGCCGACGGATCCAGACATGTTAACATATGTGTCAATTATGTTTTATGTGCCTTGACACAAGAAGTGTAAGCATAAATAAGCATTTTATTAACAAAAAATTATTTTTGGTAACACATAGTCACATTGGAGCTTCATTGGATCAGTAGCATGCTTCATTTTTGTGTAATACTAAATAGTGAATCATTCAAATGCAAGTTTTATTGTGTGGCTGAGTGAAAAAAATGTTTCATGTTCTGATTCCAGCCCAATAAAATAAAACATCTGGTTCACTGACATATATAAAGGATGTTTAAAAATATATATTTCATATTTGCTTAATCTTACTAGTTAATAGCACATCAGAGATCTTATTTTCTTTCTCCACAGAATCCTCAGATTGTAAGCTAGTTCAGATATCATACCAAACACACTGGATGTCTTTGGAATTACACCATATGATGTGTTCAAAAGGAGTGAATCTGTGTCTATGACATGGAAAGAATAAGGGATGTGATGTAGCGGGCGCTGTGAGCCAAATGGAAACTGTGGTCAGATTTGTAAAAAACAAAGTTATCCATACTGGCAACTTCAATGCACAGCAATCACCATAACAAACCTGCTACTAATGTGTGCCAGTGGTGGCAGTTCATATTAAACATGTTAAGATTTTTAAATAATGACAGTAAGGCCTCTCAATTAAACTTTTATGCTTTCGGACATATTTTATTTTCTTCAGTTTGTAGGATGTCATTGGATGAAACATTCCTAATGTGGTCACCTCAGGCACAGAAGGCCTACCCACCTACTGTGGAAATATTCGATTTGGGAGGGGCAGCCAATCAGGAAAAAGTTGAAGAGGCTCAAACAGCCTGTTTCAGAACTCAAGAATGGATGAACTAAATTTCGACCTTTGAAACTGAAGCAATAATAATAATAATAATAATAATAATAATAATAATAATAATAATAATAATAATAATAATAATGCTAATAAAGTCCAAGAATGAAAATATGGAGTTGGAAATGATCATAACAGGCTCTCTGTGATAAAGAAATGAAGTTTGAAGACTAAAAACACAGAAATAATGTCAAATGTTTCTTTGTTGCCCAGGATTTTACAAAGCAAACAGTGAAAATTGCAGTGCACCAGTGAACTACATGAAAAGGAGCCTGAATAGAAACACACAGCATCATAAACACCATTTATTTTTATTTTTTTTACATTTCTTGTGTTATTTGCTGAATACTAGATTCTAATGGTAATGTAGATGCAATCCAAAACATTACTCATAATGCTCATTTAGTAATGAAGTACATTAAAAATGATCTTTAAAAGCATGTTGTCTGTAATCGGTAGTAAAAAATGGTTTAAAAGTAACTGTCCAAACACTGGATGCACCTATTTATCTCTAATACAGACAGAGACTGAAGACTTTTCAGGCAAACCCACTAAAGCTTTTGGGTTAGGGAGAAAAAAAAATCTCATTTTTGCTCCAAATCCTAGTGATCAATCTTTCCTCTCACCCGTCTGTCTGTTATCTTCTCCCATTTGTCTGGGGTCTATTTTGCCCCATCCATCCACAAACCACCCTATAAAGCTGACTTTTTTGACTGCCTCATCTCACAACACTGGTGCTTTCTCTGTCTAGCCCGAGGTCAGCTCAGGGAATGAGATGGCGTTGCAAAGATAGTGGAAAAATGTCACCCAGGAATGAAATATTGATGGACAGAAAGGCCTTGCCTCTTTCCCTTGCCCTCAGGCGCAGACTGAGTCAATGGGCAGCGAAGAGGAAAGCCAAAACAAACACACTAATCCGCAGGAAGGAAAGGAGACTGGCGGAGAGCAATGCGGGAACGCCGCAATCCTGTCCATCCTTTCCCTCGGAGGTATCGTTATCTTCTCCCTCCCTCTAAGCAAACCATAATCAGATTCACTTGCACTTCAGTTGATGTGGTTTATTTCCAGCCAAGGGCTTCCAGGCTTAACATATGATCCCCTTCTGGCAAATAACAAATCAATACAATGTAAATAAGGAGAGGGAAAATAAATCCCTACATCTAAATTTGCATAACGAGATGCAAGGTAAGGCTGAGGTGAAACATGTCAGCCTTGTTTAGAAGTGAACTGTCTGCCGGCTGTTAAAGGGAGCCTCAATTACAAAGCAGGAGAGACGACAGAGAGATGTCATCCCTATGCTGCTAAACAAAAGCACTGCTGTTGTTTCTTCATACAGAGTACACTTAGAACTCAACCAGATGTCATTAATGTCAAGTAGGAGTGTGTTTTGTATAAATATATGTACAGCAGCATGAAGCAGTAGACTGCACCGGGCCTGAGTCATTATATAGTTCAACTAATGACTCGCTTATGCTGTTTTTGTCATTTCATGGAACAGGCAGGCAGTAACGCTTTGTAGCAGCTTTATCTGTGCTTTTTAAAAAAGCTGCTTCGTCTGTCTCGTTAGAATTACAAACGAGGCTGGTAAACAGTGCCTTTTATCCGTTGCGGAACTTCCCTGCATCCGTAGCTAAAAACTTCTGAACAGTCAAAACAGGTACAGTCAATATGGATTACTCACCATTGATCCACTGGGCCTCCGGGTCATGGACTTTGAACTCGGGTTTGAACAAATCCTCCACAGTCATTTTAGTGTCACTTCCAGCTTGGTTGTCAGCTGAAAAACAAAAAAGCATAAATTTAATTTGTTTGTTTCTGGTAAAAATAAAAATAAATGCACATGTTACAAATTCTATCCGCTTATTAAACACAAATCATCCTTCATGCATCCAATTTCAAATCAAACTCCAGCATTAGTTGCTTCACCATCAGCATCCATGTGAAAAAGAAAATACACTCTCTTGTAGTTTGACGGTTTAACATATTGGGATGTGAAAAAACAAAAATCATCCAGTTTTTTGCAGATCTTTCATTACAACATGACAAACACCCCACAATTCAGTAGCTTATAGGACCACCTTTAGCAATAATAATGTGGCATCATTGTTCAGGAACTAAAATGCTGCTTCAGTTAATTGCGGTTTTGTGGGATTTGTTAATTCACCGCTATCTTAAGGTACCACCACTGTGTGGTCCACGGGTAGCATACTGTTGTATCGAGTGATGAGGATTTAAACTGAAAACAAACTGTTTATTCTGTTTAAATAAAACTGGAACAAGGAGCAAAACAGGAAGTCTAAACTAAGAAACACAAGGAAACCACAAAACCTGAGAGACACAGAGAAGAACAGGTGCTCTGATAACAAACAAAGGGAGATGGACACAGTATATACGTGTGAGGATGATTAGGAGAAGTGGAGACACCTAGGAATACAGCTGGAGCAAACTTGACATAATGGGATAGGGGAAGCAAAACTGAACACAATGCAGGGACAAGGGACCATCAAAATAAGACAGGAAACACACTGAGGCACAACTAAGACACACGACTTGACACTACAAACAATAGCACAGACTGCAGACAGACCCGAGAGAGCTAGAGAGAGAGTCTCTCTAGCTTTAACCCTCAAAAAGCAAACTAAACTAGGAAACAAAACCCAGCGTTCAAGAGAGCAGTAAATAAACAATTTCCATAAGTCCAGAACACACAAACACTGGATCATGACAATCACAGTATTTCGATCGGTTTGAGGTGTGGACTTCTGACCACTTTCTGAGGCCTGTAGAGTTTGAGATGGAGCTCTCACCTTGGGGTAAATTTGGTCCAATCTTGGAAAGGTTGTGAAATTGTGTTAACACACATCTCCAGACCATTGAATTACAAAAAACATATAGTTTTATAGAGGTGCTCACACTAACTGATTAGCGACACCTGGATGCTACTTCCTTTGTCCAATGACTGTAGGAAGAAAATAGAACTGGATGGATTTTTACACTTGCCTGACGAGCAAATACAGTATGTTGAGTGTCCTGTTAATCCAGATGTACATACTGGTATTTACACATGAACACACAAAGAAATCCATGTGTGTGAAAAAGATACACATTGTCACAATGGCATTTCATTCGTTCATTAACATGATCATCACTGGGCTAGAAAATCTTTAAGCTGTTCCAGCGCTGACCCTGGAAATGTTTCATTTTTAATTATGAAATGTTAAGCCTTTAGCAGAAAGAGACCATGCCAATTGTAAGCTTCTCCTGAATAGAACAGCTGCTGATTGTGAGCAGAATAAGAGGGCCAAGTCATTTTGAATGTCAGCCATATTGGCTTCCCTTGATAACTCCACACAGCATGTTTGTTTATGGAGGCAATGAAAGTCTAACCAACCGTGGAATACACTGGGGAGAGAGTGGCTGCATGGCCAGCGGATTGTGATGATTTTACATCTGAGAAAATGATATTTTTGAAGCACATATACAGTGTACAGTGTGTGAAAATGGGAGAAGAGCTTGATAAGCTATTTAGGTTCAACAATTATGTGAAATTGTTACCTGTTTTGTAGTACCGCTAGAAATTAGAGATCCCAAAACAGTTTGTAAAATACTCGCTAGAGAATATGGATGACACAAAAAGAATATGTTTTACGCTGCCTCAGTTTTTTCCATTAAGCATTCGTCATCCATTTGTTTTCTATGTCTTTTCTAGGTTTTGGGTTGGGTAACAGCAGTCTAAGCAAGGACACTCCCGCCACACACAAACACACAATGTCCAGTGTCAAGCAGTGTCCATTTGCGTTTCCATTCAGATAGTGAGCAGAGGGGTGTTTTTACACACCTCAAACGTGTAGTGGTGTTCTATGAAGCTTAATTGATGGAAAAGTAATATACATTCAGGCTTAAACCAAAGTTTTCACTGTCACAAAGTTGGCAAAGGTATCACAACAGTGGTTATCAGCTTTCTGTGTTAATCCAGGTTTTGCTTCAGTCTCCATGCACGCTCGCATACTGCAAAAAGGGTCATTTCATGCATGCTGTGTGGCTCACACACTGATAATGCCTCTCACCTTCTCCAGTCAGAGGCATTTTCAGTTGCTGAGGATGATAAATAATGATTAAAAATCTATAAAGAAAATTGTTAATTATCTGTATAGATTTATTGCCCAGGATGGTAAAATTAACATTTTAGTTCGAATTAATTAATTTATTGTTCACCTAACCATTAAATATAATAATACTACTAATAATAACAAAGGACACTTGGAAATTACTTTAGTTTGTGGCAGATCAAAGTGAAAATGAATTTATTAATTGATCAGGTATTCTTGCTCTGTGTTCTGTGTTTTAGTACCTCACCAACAAATTAGAAGTACAACAACATTTGGGAATTTTCATCACTAAATTAGTACATGCACATTGTTATGACAGTTTGTGCTTCATTCAGTGGTTTTAAGGCGGTATGGCTTAATATGTTGCACATAAAACATATAAAAAACCCACCAGAGAATCTGTAGTGTACCTCAAAAATGCTGTAAATAAAAGAATCATTTAAAATGAAAAATAAAAATGTTAAAACTGAAAATCAGAACATAACCTGCTCCTGACTAGCTTATGTGTTCAGCATAAGTTACCATGGTTATTTAGCCAGGTAAAAAGAGTGCCACTATACAGAGTTTAGGGTGGAAACAGCTCAGTAAGCCATTTCCCATGCCCCATCGTACACCTCTCTGGATCTGGACAGTAGCTGGTAGTGTTCAGAGTTTTGATTTGCTATGACTCATTTTTCTGATGACTATATGTTTTTGGACCAGTACAGAGGGAATATGTTACACAAGGCTATTCAAGAATATGTTACTTATACCACCAAATGAAGCCAGGTAGTCACAGCAGTGCAAATTCTATGGCAGGTTTTACATTTTACATTGGTGGTACAGATAAAGCATAAATATCTTGTCAGGTTCATTTGCTGGTTGTATTTTCCCCATTTATTACACAGAAAAGAAATTTGAGTTAGTAAGTGAAAAATAATAATTTCACTTTTATTTGGCCATAAACTGAATGGATCCCCTCATGCACTTCATTATGGGACAGGGTTAGGTCTAAATGCACTCCCTGGTCATCATGTAAGGAATGTAGCTTTCATGTGCAGCTTTCATGTTAGAATAACAGCAGTTTTGGAAGTGTGTTAAGTGGTGAAATGTACTGTACATAGTAATTTGTAAATTTAGATACAATTTACTATGCATATTTTTTTTCTCTCCGTGACCTGATCCCTTTGACTGAAGTCAGACGGACTCAATCAGATTACTTTGTGCAGTAGAAGAGTCAAATGGTGCATCAAATGACCCATCTTATGGGAGCGTACAAACAGCCTGAAGCAGAAACCCTCGATTAATAGATCAAGCTGATAACCACCAGTGTGATACCTATTATCTCTGGCCAGCTATGTCGAACTTGCTTCGTAGTACAACCCTGTGGGGGCCATAAGGCAAAAACAATGAGTTCATATTTCAGTTTCATCTTAGCCATTTTATACATGAAAATATTTACTTATGTGGCTTTAAGTTGGCCTACAGATAGATATTAAGGAAACGACCACCAGAAAAGGTGAACTATTCATCCACTGCCTTTTAAATCAAACGAAAGAATTTTAAACAGATTTCGACACCTTAAATCTGCATTAATTGATTTTTTTTTTGCCTCTTAGGAACAGCAGCAGAAGCTAACAGTAAACAATGTAAAACAATGAACAAAAGTGATACATAAATAACGTTTACTGTGAAGGTTAGGTAAACATGTGAGATGGGTATTACAATACGAGAGTCGGAAATGGCTGTATAATTTTTACTCAGTTGATTAAATCTTAATAAGCATAAATTATGCGGTTATGATTAAATTGTAGACTGTGCTGAAGACATTTTGTCAGTGCAAGTAGATGCAGAAAAACAAAACTCCCCCTAAAACATCAGTTCATCACAATCAAGTCTGAGTGTTACCTGGTGTGAGGAGGATGACAGACATAGTGATGAGGGAACAGACCACCAGTATGACCAGCAGAGCGATAGCAATCCCCTTCCAGTTCCTCTGAGGAGGACTCACTCCACCCAGGTCCTGCAGAGAGACACACAGAAAAAAGGTGGAGGTCAGAGGGGAGATATCGAAGGCGATGACTGAATGACTGAAAGTGAAGATACCAATAAGAAGAATAACACCAGACAGCAAATATGACACAAATAGCTTTATTTTTAATTTAAAAAAGTCCTTCCTGATCATCACATATTGTACACTCTGTGCACTCTGGTTTCACTTACAGTACCTATTAACATAGGTCACATTGGGGCGTTGTGCTTCCAATCCAATCCCCTACACAGTGGAGGATTTGCAATGGAGGGCTTTAAATGAGCCACACTGTAAAACTGAAAAATGAAACTCTGATATGGTGAAAAGCTGAAGAGTATTTGCATGGTTTAATTACCATTTGGCCAACCTTACCTTTGAGTTTCAGCTTCTGATCTATGAAAAATAAATTCTGCAAGTGTCAGGGGTCATTTTTTCTGAATCAGACAGAAATGTTGCTCCATCTTTTACAGATACTGAAAACAGCAGGGCTTGGTTTCAGAAATCTGACTGATTGTAGAGTGTGGGTGTGTGTGTTTGTGCGTTTCTGTGTGATATTATCTACAGAGAAATAGCTATCCAGGAGAGTTTGTGAAGCTTTTGCCTGCAACTCCATCTCTGAATCCTGGTGTTAGAAAGTCTTAAACTGGGTCTTCCACCACATCTGCTGCCTCTGATAACGTGAATTAAGCCCCCTCCTATAAATTTCTTCCTTCCGCAGATCCTCCTGGCCTCAATTACCCACAAAACCCTGCAGCTGAAATGCAGCGATTACTGCTCACCAACTCACCACTGCACTCTGATTGGCTGGAGGGAAAGTGGTCTAAAATGACTGCCAATCTGAGCCAAATTTTGCTCCAAAAAAAAAAAAAAGAGAGAGAGAAGCTGCAACTGTCTCAGATTTAGTCTGAAATTCATTTTCTAAGCACTTGACATGACATGGTTAAAAGTGCTGTAACTCACTTAATCTGAGTCATGACTCTCATATATTGACTGATGAGTCAATTATGACTGAAGCACCTCCAGGTTTTTATTCGTAGAACACAAGGTACCACAGAGTTTTCAACAACAACCCAAATCTAGTCGAATTTTGGCAGATTTACACTTAATTTTTCCTACGCTGAGTATCAAGTGAACACGGACTTCCTAAACACTGAAGCAGTTCACTGTAACCATTACATACATGTGCTGTTACATTATTCACAGCCCCCTCTGGACTCATAAGACTCATCTAATATGAGGACTTGGGCTGTTGCTCATTTCATTAGTACCACAAAAGGCTGACATGTCCTTGAAGACTGACAGTAACTCCAAATTGCCCTTGTGCCACAGTGCGTGAGATTCTTTCACCCTCTCTTTTGAACGTTTTCCCTATCTCATTTTCTCCCCCAATTTCCTATTTAGCTACTCTTGGATCATCATTTTCAATTTATTAACTTCATTACAAGCGATGATAGAACCACTAAGAGAATTCGGACCTGCTGAGTCTCTCCATTACCATTACTGTGGAAACAGTGGAAGGGCCCGATAAATGTTTAGCCTACCAGGGGGAATAAGACAGCAACTGGGCTTTATCACAGTCATTACACCCTCATCAGAAATAATACATTTCTCAATAAATCTCTGCTGATTGGAGGGCAGGCTGGGGCCTCTCTTCTCTGTTTTATTAAAATCCAACCAATAACCAGTGCAGTCATTATTTTATGGCTTTAATAATTACACAACACCACAAATTGCATTTTTGCTCTCTCGTATTAAACATGATAAAACATAAATGGTTTTTTAAGTTTCATCTTTCTTTATATGCCACATTTGTCCCACATCCAACACAACACAAAAATCATTGCAACGTATACACCTGGGGGATGATTACTGCACTTCAAAGTACCTTTGAGAGCCAAAAGGTGTGTCCACGTTCCCAAATTTGTATCGTTACTTGTATTTTTTAAAATACAATATCAGGAGAAAGTCTGTGTTTAGCACAGAACAAAAACATAATAAAAAAATATAAATTTAGAGTTTAAAGTAGCTAGGAACTTATGAAGGCACTCAGGGTTAGATTCAATTTGTCACCTTTTTATAGGGACTGTATGGGACTTCTTTGGGAAAGTAAGGGTTTCTAGTTTTGGAAAATGTGAATATTTTTAACATGGCTAGAATAAAACTCAGCTGTAACCCACAGTCCAAAGAGACTCATGTCAGGTTAATTGGTGATTCTAATCTGGTTGTTGGGGAAGATCTAGGATAGAAAAAGCTCTGAAAGTGGCTTTTTCTATCTTAGTGATATTCAGATGTCTGTCAAGTGATAAAAAAGAAATTAATTCATAGGTATCCAAGTTTATGCTTCTTTTGGTGATTGTACAAATAAATACATTTGTCAAGTATACAGCAATACTTTAGAGGGTACTACCTGAGTGACAACCTAATTAAAGGTAAAATGAGGTATTTCATATACTCCAGTGACATTACTCTAACTAGTTTACCTCGAGGCATATTCTTCTCGTCTCCTGCCTATTTTTTTTTCATCTTTGACTTTCTGCCAGGACATCGTTCGTTTTCAGAACGTGTTCATTTATTTCACATAAAAAGTGTGTATCTGTGCAACAGAGGGACACGCGGGCTTATAAATAGCCTCCTGAAAGGCTGGGCTGTATTAAGAAGAAAGCCCTCTTTTTTCTTTTTTTTTTCTGAAAGTAAAGGGACAAGGACAAAGACCCAAGAAAGTATCTCCTTTTCTCCTCTAACAGTCTTTCGCATATTTACATCATACCAGGATTTGTGTCAGGCAGTTATGGTACGGGCCACATGATTTTCCATATTTAGAGTGTGATTTCCAAGATGCCTGCTGTGAGCCTTAAATAGAGTCTCATATTCACAGCGATTGTATCATTGCATATTGTAAAAGTAACAAAAGCATGAAAAGTGTTAGCTACTGAGTCAAAGTAAGATGCTGAGCTCTCACTGTGTTCTCTATCTAAATTATTCTGATATTTTACTATAGGTTTTGCTCATTTACTTGGAACTGGAAATAACAGAAATGGAATTGGACATAGGAGGCAAAGTCATGATTGTTGCTTTGAATTCTTTGTGAATATATTTGATTTTGGGCTCCTTTTAAAAATTTGTTATTATTACAAATGTTTTATATTTTATTTTATTTATTTATAATGACCTCTCTGAATTTTGATTTTACTTTTTGTTTTTTTCTAGTAATGAGCTTCAGTTCTGCATCCTGTTTTGTTTTTTTAGCTCATGTCTGTTTGTTTTAGTTCCTTCATTATATGTGTGTATGTGTGGTTGCTTTCACCTGTTTCCCTATTTAGCCCTCGTTGTATAAGAAGTCCTGTCTTCCGCTCAGTCTTTACAGTGCCTGTCATTGCTGGCTTCTCTGTGTGCTAACGTCTTTGATTTTTGCAGGTACAATGGCAATTGTTTTTGCACACATGTTAAAGTCTTAAGATAAAATAAGATGGTTGAGAATAATCTCAGTTTCTAATCAATAAACACAATTATTATATTAAATCATTTATCAATTAACAAGAATTAACTACCCTATTGTTTTAGAGCTATTAAACCATTATAAGGACAGAATGTCAGCATCTTTTACACTATAACAAATCAGAAAGGATCATGTGAGGAACATTCAGGAAAATGATGTAGGTATCAGCAGGCAACAGTTCACATCACACGAATCTCTCTCTGTTGGGATGTTTTGATCTCTGTGTTATTGATCATAACCAGCAGTTACACTGAGGCTCTCCTGTTGATTGTGGGAAGATACAGTTGAGCTAAAGTGGATAAAATAGGCAAATCTATTAATGAATACAAATTATATAAGCCAGCCATGGGGGGAAGCACAAGCCAGTATATTTCTATTGTCGGTCACAAGCCCAGATAAAATCTTTGCCGAATCAAACACCAAGAATGAGATTTCCATAACAGATCAGTTGGGGCCCGGGTTAACAACAACCACCTCCAGTGCTGCTGACCGACAGGGTGCCGGTGGTTCGCCGAAGACAAAAGAAGGGGAGAGGGGGAGGCGTGTTTGGAGGCTGCGAGAGCGAATTAATGTCAGGAGTGTGGAGGTGGGAATATTGGCTTTAAATGTAGAGCTACGATTGTTAAAAGGAGACAGCTGACTGATATGATGGAGAGAATGAAGTTAGACATACTGTGTGTGCAGGAGACCAGGTGGAAATGAAACAAGGCCAGGAGCAACGGAGGTGTGTTCAAGCTGTTATACTATGGTGTGGATGTGGTTTAGGAAGAGAAATAAAGGAAGAATATATGAACAGTGTTGTGGAGGTGAAGAGGGTGTCAGACAAGATCGTGGGTTCAAAGCTGGAAATTGAAGGGGTGGTGTTAAATGTTGTCATCCGTAGGCCCTATATATGTTCCATGTCAGTTCGATGAAAAAAGAGGAATTCCAGATAAGCTGGGCGAAGAGTCTCCTCTCTAGGGAGAGAGTGGTGGTATGAGCAGATTTCAGTGGACATGTAAGTGAAGGAAACAGAAGTGATGAGGAGGTGATAGGTAGGCATGGTGTTAGAGAGAAATTCAGCAGGATGCATGGTAGTGGATTTTGTGAAAAGGATGGAAATGCTTGTGGTTAACACATATTTCAGAAAGAGGGAGGAACACAGTGAGGAGGGTGTACACAGGTGGACTACATCTTTTGCAGAAGGTTCAGTCTGAAAGAAATAGACTGCAAGTTGGTGTCAGGGGAGAATGTAGCTAGGCAGCATTGGATCGTAGTCTGTAGGATGACTGAACATCAAGTGGAGTGAGCGAGTGAAGACAGAAGCAGCGATGAAATGGTGGAAGTTGAGGAGTGAAAAATGTTGCACAGAGTTCAGAGGAGCTGAGACAGGGTGGCGGGGACGCGTTACCAGATGAACATGAGAGTACAGCTGAAGTGATTGGAAAAATTGCCAAGAAGGTATTCAGTGTATTCTCTGGAGAGAGGAAAGAAGACAATGAGACTTGGAGGTGGG